TCTCTTTCTCGGGAGAGTTTCCAACCCCGCCTGGACGCCATCCTGTGCAACCTGCTCTGGGTGATCCTGCTTTGGCAGGGGGTTGGATGAGATGATCTCCAGAGGTCCCTTCCAACCCCACCAGCCTGTGAAGCTGTGAACTGTGGTGAATTTAGCACATCAAAACCACATCGTTTTGCCAAAAGCTCAAGAATACGAGCCCAAGAGCGATCCATCTCAGGCAGGATGTAGGAGACCCAAGCACGTCCCTGCTCCGCTTCCTCTGCGACGAGGAACTGATGAGGAGGACTGAACTGAACCAAGTCATTAAGTCCCACCAAACCAACCGCCGAATGGCACTAAGCAGGGTTTGTTTCTGACACGTTCCAAGTTGTGGCCATTAATACAGTGAGAAGCGCACTTTGTAAGGAACCAGCATTCCATCTGGCTTAGAGAGAAAATACCCATTTGTTATTTCCTTGCTTATCAATTTCATTTGAAAGGAAATGTTAAGTGATTTTTTTTTTCACTTACATCAGGAACATGAAAGAAACGCTGAAGCTATATTCAAATTATTTTGTTTCAATAAGTAACTGCATACTTTATTTCTGTAGACAGATTTTATATTTACAGGTATCTAGAGAGAGATTTTACACACATCTAGATATAAAGGCACACACAGACACACATATATCTTGTCTTAAAAAACAGAAAATATGTCTTTAAATCCTCTATGAATATTGAGCCTGCAGCTACAATGAAACTCTTCTGTTAGGAGGGGTGAAAACAGTCTCCAGATGAAAGTAGATTTTGAAAAATTTTTAGAGCCCAGGGGTTCATTTTTAATGAGCCGTTACTTTAAGTACTGCATAAAAAATACAAGAAATTGATAGTCCATTTAGCCTGCACTATACCTAATGCAAAAGTCATTAAGATGCATTATTCTTAATGTTTATGATATGATCAGTAAGTGTACAAGTCTCTTTTTTTTTAAAAAAAATAAAGTCAAGAACGTCCATATATCTCATGCGATAGTTTTTAAACACCTGCACTTAATACAGGAATATTGCACTGTGAACACTGCAGCTGCCATTAACACTTTGATACAAGCAAAAATAGACCAACAGAAACTGAAAACCACAGAAAAATCAGCATTTGTTATACTATACCTACATAGGATAGCATGGCTTTCATTTCTTCATCGCTTCTAACAGTAATCCGATCGCCATCCTCATCTTCATCTAACAAAGAAACATATTACATTCATGAACGATGGAAGAATTTTTACAATTTTACTATGTAAGGGTTTTACCGGGACTTTGAGAAGCAAATAAAAATATGAAGAATGTATAAGCCAACTACACGGGTAACCAGGTACTCTGAAATAATAATGTATAATGACTCCAAACATTAATTAACAAAGACTACAATTCTGTCTTAAAAAGGAGGCATGAACAAAGCGCTCAAAACTTTGCTCCCAACAGTTCTTCTGCTGCCCAAACCCCCGCAGCAGCCTTACGGACGCTGCAATACCCCTCGCTGAAACCCAGCAACAGCGAACAGAAAGTAAAGCTTGAGCCTCCCAGACGGAGTTACGTTTTGGCAGTTTCTTTCATCAGAAGTTAATGACTACAATTAAAAAAAAAAAGAAAAAAAAAAGATATTTAAATGGTTTCCCTCCCATCAAAGCCTCCTGGTGCTACTGCCAGCCCTACCTCAACTCACCTGCCCTGCGCCACGTTCCTCCCACCCCTCCGCCCCATCCCCGTTACAAATGCACGAGCATCTCCGCTTCTTCACGACACGGCGATGCCGACTCAAAAACCCCTAACCGAGAAGCGGCCACAAATCCGCAATGTTTAGAGAAAGGGACTGAGATGAAGGCAGAAGTTTGTGAACAAGCAAAACCAGCCTGTGGTTTCGTTCACACCACAACCGTGGGCGCAGAGGAGGCACGAGCAGCGTCGCGGATTTGCGGCGACAGCTCCGGCACAGCCACAAACGCAGACGGGGCGTTTCTGGCGAAAGGAAAGAGGCTGTGGCAGAACCAGAGGATGGGAGCAAGATTCGGAAAGGCTCCAGCAGAGCAAGACGTGAAGATCTGAAGGAGGAATAGACTTTCCAAGGACATATGGTGGGATTCAGCAGGTGCGGATTTACCAGGGGGGGCTCGATCCCCCCCATTAGCACCAGCTGGTGCAACAACACGCTCCAACGTCAGAAGCCGCCGCTGCCGAGACGCCCCGTGCGGTTCCTTCACTCGAGGGGAGCGGTGTCCACCCCATCCTCGTGAAAAGCTCGTACGCTTTCACCGACGGAGAGCTGCGCCCGTGGCCAGATCACCAGAACCGACCCCGTCCCTCCATATCAGTTGCAAAATTTTAATTTCTTTTTATTGCTCTAGCTTTGGGGGAGAAGGGAGGGGTTAATGATCTGTCCCCAACTTTCGCCTCCTGCAATTTAAATATCTTCCTCAGATACTTATAAAAAACCCAAACACCAAACCCAAAGCACACTGGTGTTTAGCCCAGTTTTACATTTGTTTTTTTCCCTTTGGACAGGGAGCTCTCTGAAAATAAAACGACAACAAAACATCCAACCGATACCAAAGAACGGCTGACAAATTCACACGCCTTTTTGGCCAAAACCCACCTGTCGTGGGGAATCTCAAGCACGCAGGCCCACGTGAGTCGGGCTATTTAAAAGACACCCACCTCCTCCTGAAAGCTGAGGTGTGTCAGGACACGTCCGCGCACAGCGTTCTGCCCGTGCTCCAAGGTGCAAGCGAGCCGGTCAGAAACCCGTAGGGTTACAAAAGGAAAGCGTTCTGCCCGAGCTAACCTGCACCGGGGAACCAAGGAGCAACGTACGCACCGTATTTTAAACGCTTACTCCATACCAAATGGTGAGGAGGTGGAGATGAGCATTTACGGGGCTCCGGGACCGGAGCAGGTTTGGTCCTGACCCGCTCAGGATGCGAGCGGAGGCTGGGGCTGTCTGTCTGTCTGTCCCCATCTCGATAGATGTGCTCTCTGCAAGCACAGCCCCTCCTATTACATCAGCATAAAAAAGTGCCGTTATGCCCCTGGATGAAAACTCACTCTTGCTCCTAGTTATGCACAAGAATCTGAGAATTGAGTCGAGAAATTAAAATTACCCGAGAAAAGGGGTTTGTTCATTTTGCCTCTGAAAACCTGGCAGGTAATTTTGAGGCTAGAATGAAAAAAACCCAAAACAACGCAGAAGAAAGAACAAAACATCAAGAGAGAAATAATAAGGAAAAAAAGTAACATAAAGTCCTTAGAATTACCCTTTAAAAATGTACTGGAAAGGAGCTATGGGACACTGGAAACGTGGAAGCTGGAAGAGGATCTCGGTAGCAGAGCTATGTCCTACAAGAGCCGCGTCTCGTGGAAATTCAACTGGTGAACTGCCGGATTGCTAGAACTACTGGTCAGGGTTACCAGCCCGCAGCACGTCATGAATGATGAAAAGATGTAGAAGAATTAGCGAGTTGAAACCAAATGCTTCCTTGCCTGGAAACATTTACAACTCCTTCTCCTTTCTGCCTAAAAACTGCTACCTGGCCGAAACCCAAGTCCCAGTCACGGTGGGCAATAAGAAAGGCTGAAGAAGTAGCTGTTGGAACAGTGGACACAACGAATGCCAGGCATCAACGAGAAGGGATCGGAGCAAAATGCAGAAGAGGGGAAATATGACAGAGAGAGGTGAATATATGGAGAGAAAAAGTCGTTAAACAGGCCTGGCTTAAGGAACAACTTGAGCTGGGAACCACCGAAAAAAAAAAAAAAGAAAAAAGTGGAAAACTCTTAGAGCCCGCTTGCAAAGAGGGTATAAAAATCACACATTATTCATTTCAAATGATGAGAAATTAACTCCGAAGTTCTCAGAACTGCAAAATTCCTGATCGTGGTACAAAGAGAATAAATTAGAAATATGTTGATGAAAAGGCAGAAAGCGTTACATGGCATTAAAAAAGCCAAACCTAAAATAGCCAGGCGATGCTTGTAGAGACCAAAACCAGAAAAGAAAAAAAAAAAAGTCTCATATCTGCACAGAGATCCTTTGCCATCCCACCACGACATCTAAGCGGGCACAGCCCAAAAACCACCTAGATACGACACATGGGTTCAGAAAGATTTCCAGGCTTCTCTACTTGCCTAGAGCGCAGCAATATGATTTTCCAGCACATTAAGGAAGCAAAAGTAGAACCAAAAAAATCCTATGTACTGGCTGGATTTTGCTAATGTCACTTAAAATGGAGGAAGAAATCCTTGCAAGATACCAAATAGAGTGCAGCAGATGGTAAACAAATATTATGAAGCAATCTTCGCAAAATCTGCAGCGTGTCACAAATATACAAAATGGCAGAGTTTGGATAAAAGGATCATAACAGGCCATATGTTGTTAGTGATTTTATTTGTAGCGCTGTGTAATACAATGGTGAAACCCACGTAAAGGTCCAACGGTAGGAGAAGTGCAGCCCCAGGAAGGAGCCGCGATGGATGGTACACTGTAGGTAACGATAACTGAGCAAACAGAAGCAGAACCTGCGCTGGATGGCAATTATCCACATCCGAAGAAGCAATGAAGCAGGTGAGAACGAAGCTTAAGCTGGTAAAATCCAGGCAGTTGACATGGAAAAAGTAACCAGAAAAACCAAGCATCAATATACATAACATATTTTAGATGCCAGTTAAATGGCAGGGGAAATGGTTTTGTGCAGATGTAAATGACAGACTAGAGACATGAACCGAAAGCACAGAAGCAGATGTTAGAAGACACAACGAAATAAGTATTTCCAGGAAAGTTCTACACATGGTACCATTAATATGGGCTACTGCCCTGATTGCAGCGACTGCTACTGGTGCATGAAGTTCAAACAAAGCTAATGTGTGATGTGGGAGGTATGTAAAAATAAAAAATATTAACAAATCATTAAAAAAAAATATAAATGGCAAGGTCTGGAGCCTGGTCTCTTTAGCAAGTCTTGTTTTAAAAAGCAGGGCAGGAGAAATGTCAAGGGTACAGAGAAATAACACTCATATCCTCCGTTCATAGGGTTCTGGCGTTTTAGGAAGGGAAAACACAAACACATGAAAAAGAAAAATGGAAAGCACTAAATAGTACCTGAAGGACCATAAAACAATGTTTCCTTTGATTATCTGCATGCAGATTACCCATAAAGCTCTAAAAAAAGGGGAGAAGCGCTAATAAGAATGCAAGGCCTTATCTCGTCATATCTGCTCTCTCGCCTTCAGCATCACTACCTCACTCATCTAACGCTTCTAATCCCCTCCGGCTCCTTCTTGCTATTTCATCTCTATCAAAGGAAAACACAGAGTTACATAGAAAAAAAATAAAATAAACATTAAAAGGGAATAGCAGGAGCCCTCTCCACTTGGAAGAAAACTCTAGCTCGCTATCTTATCCCCTACGACACCGATGTTTGACTCCCCTTTGCAGCTTATTGCTGAATCCCTCCAGAAAGAAAAATAAACAGGCTTTAAAGAATAGAGCTGAACTAGATATTAGCAGATACAGTTCTAAATCGGCGCTAACAATCACCGAGAGCTTTCCTAACTCAGCAAAAAATCATAATACAACCATCTCCACGAGGTGCAAGCGCCATTACGGACAACCCCAGCGCACAGCTTGCTCACACCCTATGCAGAAGTTATTTTTCCCAGGTTCTCACCCAGCCCCACACGACCCTTTAGCAGCTATTACCACTGCCCAAATCTAAGCAGGTAGCATCTTCCTGCAGCTCCCACACCTCCTCCAGGAGCTGCCCAGCAGAAGGCAAAAAGAACCACCAACACCCGCAGCAGCCCTTCTAGCAAAACCCAGACGTTCGTTCCGGCGAAAGGAAACATTAATTTCTAACGCTGCTGTATTTCGTACAAAAATCTGTACGTTGTACCGTATTTCTGTAAGAGAGCTGCTGCTCTTTTGGTTTCTTCCAATGGAGGATTAAAATTTTAAACTTAGACCTACAGGTGCTTTATACTTTTCATTTAATTTGAGCAATATAATTGCAGTGAGGAGTAAGAGCATGGTAAGGTCATGCTGGTAATTAGAGCTGTATTGTAGAAATATGCTCATTCAAGATGTGATTAAATAATAAAATATTGCTTCGTTCAGAATCATCATTAAACTTGCATTAATGCATAAATATTTAACTGTAACATATAACGAACGTAAACATTACTTATTTAAAAAATGACAGCCCTATAATGTGACAAAGGAGACAGTTTATACAAGTCATACTTACACTCAAACGCTGTTGTCGTTGCATCTGGCAAAACTTGACCGATGACATCCTAAAACGTAAAGAAGAATTAGTCGTATATCAAATGGGAAATGCCCGAGATGATTTAGAGTAAATCATCTCAATTACTCCCCAGTTGCAGGCAGGAGACAAAGTCCTGCTCCTCACCACTGCCCCAAAATTACAAACTTTTTAGAGCTCAACAGAAATCAGCACAAATCACAGCGCTCTCCCCCTTCCTCTCCACGTTACCTTGAGGAAAAAACTGATTTCTTTTTAAATAACTCAAATCATAATTGCAAACAAGTCAGCGCTGTCTGTTCTTGCAGTTTAAAGAATTGATTTTGTCTGTAGGTTATAGAAAAGCGTACATTTAACTCATTGAGGTAAGTCATAAAAACAGGGGTTTATGAATGGGGTTTTTTCTAGATGAGAAAGCACATTTTCTCTCTCAGTCCTCCTGCTTGCATCACCCTGCCTCCTCCTCATCACCTCCGAACAACCGCCCTGGTCCTCCCTCCCACCGCGAGATAACCTCATCCCACGGCTCCCATCCTGCTCGCAGCTCAGGAACAAAGAGCCCCCGGATGGATTTTAGGGCTGCCATCGTGAATTAAAAGAGGAGCTGTGAGACTGAACACATTTTTGTTGCTTTCGCTTCAAAACTACCCGGGAAAGCGGCGGGACCCGGCAGCTGCGCCGAGCTGCCTGCTGCTGCCTCGCAAAGCGACGCTGCGTCTCAAGATGCTCTCCACGCCACGCGAGCCGGAAAGTTTGGAAGGCACTTTGTCATTCTTAATTGGAATTTAAACTTCTTCAAAACTTGGGGGATAGTTTCAAATACGTTGACCACTCTGAAGGAAATAAGGTTCAAATACCTGAAGAAGCGGAAGGACTGAGCCAGGAGGGAACCTCCAGCCTCGGCGGCGTGACGATGCCGTGCAATCCCTGTCTCAAGGGAGGCGCGAGCTGCGCACACACAAACCCACCACAAAACACCCCAAACATTTCCCAGTGTCACGCGCCTCTGATCCGAACCAGCGTTTTTATGCCAATACAAACCTTTCCTGCACAACTAAACCGAGAGGAGGAAACCTTTTTTTTTTTTTTTTTTTTTTAAAGCCTTTACATACAGCATTTACTCAAAATTCAGCAAAAAGCATCCGCTCAGGCTGAAGTCGTTCCGGGCTCCCAGTGTATGTTGTTGTCAGCCTTCGCGAGGCTGCAATATGTCACGTCAGGGCACGGCATCAACGCACAGCATGGTTTTTTCCTTCCTGCTGCCTGATTTCTCGTGTCAGACAATCTCTCCACTGACAGTGTCACAAAGCGATTAGAAATTAATGAACAACAGTATTTATTGTAGTATGTACTCCGCGAGCATCTTGGGGTGCTAAGCACCCCCCGCCCCGTATCAAAGCTTTAGCGATCACTGCCCTGTCACTTTCGTTTTCTCTATTTTTTCATTTAGTCTAAAAAAAACCAGGCAATTAAACATTCTGTGCGATGTCAGAAAGACACAATTAATACAATGAGAAGGCAGCAAAAGCAACCCAAAGATTTCCACAGAGCTAACGGAAGGACATAATAAACTTTCTCATGTTGTCTTTTCATTTTAGATCCTAAAATAACTCAATAGTACCTAATTTAAACTATTAATTGTATACAAAAAGACAAAAGATGTGCAATACAGCTTACCCAAATGATGTAGATTGCAAACTTGTGGAGCCAAAAAAGGGGAAAAAAAACCCCCAACCAAACAACGAACTAGGCAAAAAAACCCCAAATATTGACATGTTAACAAAAATTCTTCCATTTAAATACTTCTACAGGGTTTGACAGCTCTGTCAAAAGCCAGCCAAGCTGTACCCTCTGTTCCTAACAAGAAATTAAAGCCTTGCCTCAGCAGAAGACTGTGCTGTTAACTAATTATTTCTAAATCCATTTAGTTAAACATTGAAAATTCCTCAGCAAACACACTTTAATTGTGTTAGATTTAAGCCACTTGCAAAACGTTCTTATGCGGGCACACAGATGCTTCCGCTAAACGGATTTAAACATTGTTAGCAGAAAAGGACCCCAGCTCCGAGGTATTTACAAACTGTATTTAAGAGGTGGGTGAGCACGCCACTCAGACAGAGACAGCTCTGACAGCCCCAAATGTCTGCTAGGAAAGCTCTAAGACTCCCAAAGCTGCGATAGCATTGAAACAGAGATGGTAAGTTCTTGTCTATTTTTTGGTTTTTCCTATTCAGAATAACTTTTTCTATATATTTGGATTCTTCAAAATGAGTAACAACCACGTACATGAATTTAAGAACTGTTTTCCATGTGAGACAAGAGTTATGGTGTAAATAGTTAAAAAGAAAAACCTGCCAATGGCCACAAAAAAAACCCCCTTTGCTCTAGTCAACTTTCAGTATTTCTGTTTAATAGATGCACCTGAGAAAAACCAGCCTTGCAGGGGGTGGGAAGGAGGGAAATCACACCATTACTCTCTTGTTCCCACAGTGTTTTCATCACCTACATAAGATTTCCACGCAGACCTCTCAGTGACCCAAGCTTAAAGGATTACTCTAAATTTCAACAGATTACGCGTGATGGTTTTCTACTATCACAACAGAGATCACAAGCAGTAAAATACTACGACTTGTAGACATCCTTCAAGGGGGCTCACATACACGATGGCTTCTACTTTGTCTTACGAAACTGAAAAGCCTCTGTCGACGAAGAGAAAAATCAGGAACGGCAGCTGAAACAAGAACGCCATCAGATTTGCTCTCTAGAAGCGCTGCGGAGCACTTATCTCTTGGGTGAGAAAGCAGAAAATGTGAAAGCACTGCTTTAAACAACAGCGTCGATATTGAAACCACGGCCCTCGTTCCCGTTTCAGCTAAAATGTGGTTTATCTCAGTATGACATCATGAAGCTATCCTGAATTACCACCAAGTGCTTAAATACTCCAGTGACAGCTAGGGCAAACGAACCTAGACAACCTGATGAAAAAAAAATAGGCTTATTGTAATTCATTTAGTAGCGCCTTTAAAATAAATCTGTTTAGCGGTAACTTACAGGTCTGCAAAGCTGATGTAGACAGAACGTATTTAAAGCGACATTATGAAGAACAGCTCTTAGCACCCAGTTTAGGAAAGTAATCAAGAAAAAGGTGAACCTAAAGCACGCAAACGGTGCTGCTTCCACGGGTCAAGCATCGTCCCGCTGAGCCAAGGCCAACCACCAGCACCAACCTGCAGGTACCAGGTCGTCCAGTTTGAATACATAGTTTGGCACCTGCGAAGGCTCCTCCAAGAGACAGAATTAGAGCACAAGAAATGTAAGAAATTTGTCATTTTGTGTGTAAGGCATTGCACTATCAGACTCCAACGGGTTACTCTACAGCTACAGACAGGGCATTTGGTGACTCTACACCGCAGCTGCTTCTCTGAAAAAGGAGGACGTATGCCAGCCTGAAATCCCACAAGGTTACACTCATTTGTATTCACAACACTGTTCACCCTTCCAGGGCGCTAAATTAATAAAAATAATGTTTAAAGAAATCTTGCTGTTCTCAAAGATAATTTTACGGGGATTTCTTAACGCAAAGTAGAACACGGGACCTACCTTAAGGGGAAGAACAACCTTACTACACGGCTAATTCAAGGTTGCCCCAAGCCCTCAGTTCCCACCGATGCTACAGATCTGGAGGTAGGCACCTGGTCTCTGGAAGTGGCTGGCACACGCGCTTCTGCAGTCAAGGCGAGATGGTGTGTCCCATCAAACCGCTCAGGCTGCAGGCACACGGAGCGGGCTGAGCCCGCTGTGCTCCGGACAACACCCAGAGACAGAGATCAGCACGGAACATGGTAAACTACAGGGATTATTCAGAGCTGGGTTGTGCCCCAAACAGCAGGAGCTGAGAGAGAAAAGGGGTGCTTTGTGTTCCTCCAATTTAGAGAGACATGGACAATAAGGGAAACGGCGGGGTCTGGCTGGATTATTACTATTCAGTAATTTACCTTCGTAGGGAATTGCTCAATTCTCCGCACTATCTTTAGTTGATACTCTAACACATAAGCCCTCTGTAATTGCCTACCAGGTGAGTGTAAATTACCGTGAAGGCAGAAGGACAGCAGAAGTCGGGGTCGGCCCCGGTCCTGCCTCCCCCACCACCCTCGGGGCTCCCCCCAGCCACAGGGGCACCAGCTCTACCACACTTTACGGCGCGGAGCCTTCCTTCACGGACCTTCTGCAGCCACCAGATAAATTAGCGCGCGTGCATACTGTGATGGCATCTCCCGAAACACAGTCAGGCAAACGAGGACCTTGAGACAGTTCAGACCTTATTAAACTTCTTCCTCCTTAACATTTCACAGTCCACCAGAAAGGGTTTTTGACACGAAAACGACAGCTATCGAATGGCACTACTGCACGGCTGCACCCCCAGCTGAACACCATCGTAACACCCGTCATCGCCACACCTGAGATTTCCACCGACGGCGAGAATCGCGTCATCACCTGCTGACTCCCCATACGTGACCCAAGGCTTCGGTTGGGACGGTGGTACCGCTGCCACCGCCACCCTCAATGCAACAGCCTGACAGCGGGCAACTGAAAATTACCATCACAAACGCAGACGTGACCTGACGCAGAAATCTGTCCACTTTCACTCGACAGAGAGCTGGGACTTTTCCACCCAGGAACCATTCATATTCTTCTACCAACGGGTGGAAATAATTCAGCATGCAGATGGCTGGAGACAGACCCACGTCTGCAGAGGAGCCGGGTGAAGAGAACCACAGGCGATCTGCAGCAGCTGCATCTTCCCAGAACACCGTTAACGCGGTGATCTCGACCCGCGCCGTGAAGAAGAACGAACAGCACGCATGGCCACCCACCTGGCGCGGTTCTCCATAGTGCTCTGTTGCGCTACGTGGAACGCCTGCGCAAGGGTACGCTCCTCGCTGCATCGGCTGCACCTGGCTGGGGTAGAAGTGCCTACGGCACAGGCAACGGACGTCACCAAAAGTTTCGTGGCTGCCTCGACGT